AAGTATAGGTGGAAAGTATTGGTGAAAGTATCGATGAAAAGTATCGCTGCATCAATGTTTACTTCTGGACGTGTTTTTCTGTGAATATTGCGCTGAATATTATTCGCTGTGCCCTTGTAAATTTGTTGTACGTGGAGTTGTTTTCCTGTTTCGTAAGTATCGGTGGCAAGTATCGGTGGAAAGTATCGGTAAACGTTTGCTTCTGGACGTGTTTTTGTGTGAATATCGCGCTAAATTAATATTAATTGCTGTGGCCTCGGAAATTTGTTGTAGGTGGGGTTGTTTCCCTGTTTCGTAAGTATCGGTGAAAAGCATCGGTGGAAAATATCGATGGAAAGTATAGGTGTATAGTATCTGTGAAAAGTATCGGTAGTCGTTTACTTCTGGACGCGTTCTTGTGTAAATCTCGCGCTAAATATTATTCGCTGTAAATTTGTTGTACGTGGAGTTGTTTCCCTGTTTCGTAAGTATTAGTAAAAAGTATCGGTAGAAAGTACTGGTGAAAAGTATCGGTGGAAAGTACTGGCGTAAAGTATCGGTGGAAAGTATCGGTGAACGTTTGCTTCTGGACGTGTTTTTGTGTAAATATCGCGCTAAATTAATAATATTCGCTGTGGCTTTCTAAATTTGTTGTACGTGGGGTTGTTTCCCTGTTTCGGAAGTATCGGTGGAAAGTATAGGTGGAAAGTATCGGTGGAAGGTACTGGTGGAAAGTATTCGTGGAAAGTATCCGTGAAAAGTATCGATGGAAAGTATCGGTAGGCGTTTACTTCTGGACGCGTTCTTGTGTGAATCTCGTGCTATATACTATTCGCTGTGCCCTTGTAAATTTGTTGTACGTCGAGTTGTTTCCCTGTTTCGTAAGTATTAGTGAAAAGTATCGGTGGAAAGTACTGGTGAAAAGTATCGGTGGAAAGTATTCGTGGAAAGTATCGGTGATAATTATCGGTGGAAAATATCGGTGGGTAGTATCGCTGGAAAGTATAGGCGGACATTTCATTTCTTTACGCGTTTTCTCGCCAGATTTTGCTTCTTCGGAAGGAAAGCGTTTTCCTGTGTCGCCGTCGGTGTCGTGTGTGAATTTTAGTTATGCGTAAAGCCGGCCTTAGGTTGGGTTGCGATTGAATGCGACTCGACGCGACGCATTGCATCTCACAGCGACAGTGAGTTGACAGCGACGCGATTGACAGCGACGAGCAGCGACTGACATTGGCAGTCACAGGCAGTCGCAGAAGATGCTAGGTCGATGTGACGATCGCCTATCGATCGCGCAACTAAATGTGTTTACATGACTTGTTACTGTGTGCATGTTGTGTATATGACTGTATGCACTGATTGTTTCATTCTTATTGTTCGCTTTTAT